CTATATTTTTAACACAGGAATGCTCTGAGCTGTATAGCAATTGCAATGTGAGGTAGATATAGGTGTTCAGCAAAGAGCCAGATCTTGCCATCTTGAGTGTGAAGCCAGCATCTCAGCCTTTTAGTCATTAAATGTGACTAACCAAACCCAAATGAATGCTTTCGCTGCGGTTGAAAGCGCAAGTAGATTTGGTTTTGTGGCTATCTACAAGTTATGCCACGTTTGGAGGAGAGATTGTGCTGTGAAGTATACCCACAATTACCCTTGACGGAGCCTAACCGTGACACCCGAATGAGTTATTCAAAGTGATTTAAATAGCTAGCGAACATTCCTGCCCTCTCAGTTGGCTCCTCGGTTTTGATTTGTGTGTTGTCGCCTTTTTTCTGACGTTAACAAGCGGACACATACGAACTCGACCAAAACGCGAGTTAAGACTAGCCAAAAATAAGCTTTATCATGTTTCTATCACAACTGCTGCTGTCAAGAAACAGATGAGATGAGTTAAGATGATATTCACTAAATGGGCTACTATGATTTAGGTTAGGTTGGTTACTTGCATGGTAAGTAGCAGTAGGAATTTTGCAAGGGTCAGTGACTCACAAATGTTGCTGTGATACAAATAGGTTGGACAAGATGATATGAGGTAAGGCTTCTTTAGGTTAGGCTGAGTTAGGTTACTGTCATCGAAGTGACAGACGTGTTTTGCAAGAAACAGCGTCATAGTATTTGTATTTCTGACCCCATATTAACAGAAACCAAAAGCATGTCTGTTGTTTGCTTGATTCGGTGATGTGTTCATGTGCAGGAGTGTTGTTTTGTATTAAAAATCCTGTGGAAAGGAAGTACAAAGTACAGCATCAAGGCATGTCCAGTGGTGTTGAATGGCTTTGAGTTCTCATTACACTTTCATAAAATTATTATCCCTTAATGTATTCTGTGTCAGTGTAATGACGTATGATGGAAAAACTGCCATGTTTTTGATATTACGCCCATGCCAGAGTGAAATGAATGCCGTTGCTTGCCTAAGCATCTCTCACTGACTCTGAGTCCCAACTTTTGTGACTTGAATTTTTCCCTCCTGTATGGTCTTTTCGCAATGGAATTTTTCACTCCCACCTTAGCTCAAAAGTGATTCTAGCTCACTGGCTCGGGGGCGAGGTACAGAGCAGACAGCCCGGCTCGTTTCACGCGCAGCTAGAGAGGGTGCCGCACGTCACGTCAACTAGGCCCAAAAATGTGGTCGGCAAAATTGCATGTGTAGGCCAGTTTGATTCTTGACAAATGGCAGCGATATTCGCAGACAATGCATAACATAAATGCAAGACATGTTTTTTTCTGTGATATGTGTTACAAAACTCAGATATATTGCAATGATGCACGGGTTTCGTGTTACATCCAAGAGATGATGAAACTTGGAAGCGCCATTTTCAGTTTGGGAAGAACTTTTTGAGCAAATTCAACCCCTTAAACAAGTCCTGACGACATCATGCAGCAAACTTTGTCCTAGTTAATTGATTGTTGCCACAGCCCATCATGTTTTCTGTGGCATAACACCAGGCTTGATATTGTTAACAATGTTATGGAGTCAGTATGAACAAGAAGTCCCCAAGAACAAGAAGTAAGCAGTCCCCAGAAGTTGATATGGAAAATTGGAAAATTAACCAATATCTAGGCGTGCCGTTTATATATTCTAAACGTCATTGTCTGCTGTATTTCCTCCAAATATACCCAGCTATTTCCACTAACTGCTCTCATTATTCTCAATGGAGTTGATATATATCTTCCTGATCTATTTTTGGATGGTAGGAAGCTTGCTCTGTTAAGATGGACACATTCGCCTCAAGAATTGCATTCGTTGTGCACCTCAGAAATTTAAGATGCTTATCCAAATTTCAATCACTGCTACGTGCAAACCATTGTCTGGTTCTGTGCTCGGTAGTCTTTACAAGAGGATTAACAAGCAATGCCAACACCAGAAAAACCATGCGTGCATTCATAATCAAAAAGAAGCTGTACATCACGGCTTTAAATAAAATAAATTTCACCAGCAACCTGTGCTGGGCCTTTACTGTTCAGAATAGCTAAAATCTCCTTGAATGAGTGGTGGTGTGGTTTTTTTTGCCATGCGTTCGATTTTTTTCAACAGCGTATGCCATAAAGGAACATAGAAACGATTGCAGCGGCCTTAGTTTCATGGACTTTTAAAATTTCCAAATGCAAGCAGCCTGTCTATGTGTATCTTAGCCTTCGGTTAATATTTGGGGGATGAACCAGGTCTGGCAGCATTCGGTCACAGCTTCAGCACGTGGATTGCTGTCAGCTTTGACAACATTTTGAAACTGCTAACATCCGATTTCAGTAGCGTTAACAGAGGCTAGAAGACAACGGTCAACGGACAGTGGACAACGAGCAGTGGACGACGGACAGCGGACGACGGGAAGTTGTCAGCAGACAGCGAACAACGGACATTGAACAACGGACAGCAGGTGACTGGAAGTGGACAGAGGACTGCGGACAACAACAGTGAACAGCAAACAGCGCATAACGGGGAGTGGGCAGAGGACAGAGGACGACGGGCAGTGGACAGATGACAGAGGACGACGGGCAGTGGACAGAGGACAGAGGACAACGGGCTGTGGGCAGTGGACAGAGGACGACGGGCAGTGGGCAGAGGACAGAGGACGACGGGCAGTGGACAGAGGACAGAGGACAACGGGCAGTGGGCAGAGGACAGAGGACGACGGGCAGTGGACAGAGGACAGAGGACAACGGGCAGTGGGCAGTGGACAGAGGACAGCAGGCAGCGGACCACTGACAGCAGTCACGACCGGGTCCAATGGTGCTCTGTTTTCGAGGTCTCCGGCTTGTTCCTCAATCGCTGTTGATTCGGCGGCATGGCTTGTTCACACCACGACATAACATGCCGACCGAGGTAAGCGAATACCGAAGTCGCCCACCCTAAGACCATGTCAAGGACCACAGACTGGTCGGAGGCGAGTCTATGGTCCTTGTCATGGTCCATATGAAACCACAGTGGCATCACGCGACGGATCCCAACGAAAATGTGTGGTGCACCACTCTCACATAAATTGCCTGTGTTCCTCTTGTCTGGCAGTGGTGACAGCATGCGTTCGGTTGGAACGACACTGACAACAGACATGCGTCTACCTAGCCGACGCATATCGACGTCAGCATCACCAAATCGATCAACATCAGCCTGCGAAGCGCGGTGTGCTTCAACGGAACACCCCGTACCACGTCACCCGCGTGAAGGAAATCATGCAGCTGAAGGGGTTTAACCTGCAGAATAATGTGTCTGAACTGCATGTGTACTGTGTGGGGAGCTCGGGCTTCTCCGGGCTGCTGTGATGTTCTCATTCCCACCAGCCCTTTGCTGTTTCAAGGAAGGGGATATAGAAGTCTGGGCTTCGAGATGGGGACGAAAAAGGGTGGGCACGAAGTAATACATCCTAGTGGTTTGAGACCCCATTTACACATGTCAAGCCCGAAACTCTGGAAGTGTATCATAACCAAGAGAATGAACGGCCACCAACAACAAACATGCCAACCGCTTCAAAGGAATCGCCGCAACTGTGGACATGCGTAACTCAACAGCTTGTCATGATTATCCAGTCTCTAGTTCAGTTAAAAACAGGCAATGAATGGCTGGCGCTCCGTGGCTGACCTATCTCACGTTTCTCGCATAAAGAAAAATGTGGAACAAAACCCGGGCTTCGTTTATGATAGGGCATATTTCATGACCATCGATAACCCAGTCCGTTCCAGCGCAACTCACACAAGACGCACAAATCACATGTTTGCTCATACTGTTGGCCCACGAATCGAGTGAATATTGCCCAGTACCCGAAGCTGCCGGAGCTCTTCAGACACCAGGCGAGCCTAGCAGAGCCCATCACGCCACAACACGCAACAGAGAGAGGACAGTTACACAGTCGTGGCGGCACCCCGGCGGCACCCCAGTGGCACCCCAGTGGCACCCCAGCGGCACCTCAGCGGCACCCCAGCGGCCCCCCAGAGGCCCCCCAGTGACACCCCAGCGGCACCCCGGCGGCACCCCAGTGGCACCCCAGCGGCACCTCAGCGGCACCCCAGCGGCATCCCAGTGGCACCCCGGCGGCACCCCAGTGGCACCCCAGCGGCACCCCAGCGGCACCCCGGCGGCACCCCAGCGGCACCTCAGCGACACTACAGCGGCACCTCAGCGGCACCCCAGCGGCACCTCAGCGGCACCCAAGCGCGCAGTAGATCAGCGGGTTTGAGAGAGCTGTCGTTTGGTGACACCTGACGGTCCATGGCAGCGCACAGGCCAGTGACGTACACGTCAGAGGGAGCAGAGGAGCATGCACAGGTGTAGGGTGTCAGCGCCACACAGCGCCTCTGGTGTTCGCATAGCGGAACACAGCTCAGCACAGCGGAACACCGCTCAGTGCAGCGGAGCACGACTCAGCACAGCGTAATACAGCTCAGCGCAGAGCCGTCCCAGCACAGCAGAACGGGATTCAACAGGGACAATACTCAGAACAGGATACAGCTCAACAAAAAGCATATCTTACAATACTGAAACACATCCGAGGATAGCAGAACGTCCAACGGACCCGAGCCCACACAACTGCATTACACGAGGTCCACGGGGGTGAGAGCCACGGGAAGCGGTCGGCACGTTGAGCTATTTTAATCGTTTCACAATATAAGATTGCACCAAAATCAGGCTGGACGCGAAAAAATTGCTAATGGCCCTGGTACCATTTGGTGAATGGTCCTGACCGCGCCCGGCTCTACTGGAGGGTACGGGGACGGGCGGTCACCCATCGCCTACCTATCAGGGCCCAAATGTCACGCCTACATCACAGCCTGCCCCAGCGCGAGAAACAGGAGACCAGTACAGCACAGCACAGCACAGCAGAATACGGCACGTGCTGCCGCACAACAGAACAGAAAACAGCGCGCGACGACGGGCCTCGGTCGCGGCCGCCACCTACCTGTTGAGCATGGGCACTAGGGTCCAGTCATACCCCTCCAGCACCTTGGAGACGGCCTCGTAGATGCCCTTGTCGCCGTCGTCGGTGGCCTCCTCCGTTGGCGCAGAAGCCATGGCGGCGCGCGACAATCGTGCGGCTCACGAGCGGCGGCGGTGCGCGGCGGTCGCCAGAGAGCGGCGATTGTAGCGTGTCACAATGGCCGGCTGTGGCGGACACTGGCCGTGCGTTGTTGACGTGGTGGCGTCGGTCAACCGCGCTTTGTGTCGCGATCGTGCGCAGAAGAACGCGCTCCTGTTCACTGCACGGCACTAAATAAAGACGGCCTTTCTCCCGTGCAGTTATTTATTGACCGTACGGCCGACCGGTGGACTCCGCCTCCCATCGCCCGTTGCCCAATCAGCAGCCAGTGCAGGCACGGAAAGAAATCGGTGGCAGAAGCGCGGTGCGGATTGGTTGGCGGGGGAACGGCAGCGACCAATCACAAGGGAGATGCGAAAGAAAGGGGATTACGGTTGTGCGGCGTCCGGGTGAGTAGGATTCTGCTGTTATCCGTACAGCGTCCGGGAAGTTTCCCACGGCGCTAAAAGATGTTGCCACCGTCACCGTGTGATAAAGGACAACCAAAGAGGGGCCAAGCGTATTTGAGTTTGCCGTCGAGAGATAGCGGAAGTATGCACTTGTCGGAGTTTGTACGATAACTGTGTGCTAAGGATCGCGACAGTATGGGGTGCTTGAGTTAAAGGTAGTGGAATTTTCCGCACGCAAAATCCTGGGCCATCGATTAACACACCCAAGAAAAAAAAAACATGAACAGCAAAGGTAATATTCAGAACAGATTGCAGGATTCAGAAATTGCAGCCCTCGCCTCCTGCGTGCTTCGCGTAATGGCTAACACTAAGATAAAATCCCATCAACAACACGGATGTAGCCACGTTTCTGAGAGTTAGGGGACGAATCAGTGTTATCGTACCCGCTGGGTACGTGTCGGTTGGGTTACGCGTCTTCTGCACAGAGGGAGATGATCGGGTGGTAACAGGTGATCGGGTAAGCGTGGCTGGGCTGGCCTGGCAGGGCATGCGTGGCTGCTGGATTTCTTCCCCACCCAAAACTCAACGTATCGCCATTTATAGCCACTGGGGGCAGGCTGCGTAGGACATATCCCCTCAAAAGATAACGAAGTGTCATTGTATTTGTTCTATTGTGCCCGCGGAATGCACATTTTTAACACTGTCACGCTCAGAATGTTACTTTCATGTCAGGTTGTCTCCTATTTATTTTATAAAAAACGTACATTCCATGGGCACGATTTTAGAAAAAAACGTACATTCCACGGGCACAACTGAAAAAACAGAATAACACTTCGTGATCTTTGGAGGGGATATGTCCTACGCAGCCTCCTCTAGTGGCTATAAATGGGGACAGCCTAAGTTTGGGGTGGAGAGTACTCCAGCAGCGACGCGTGCCCTGCCAGACCAGCCCACCGACGGTTCCCCGATCTCCTGCCATCCGCCGACCATCTCCCAGTGTGGAAGAGGCGCGTACCCCAGCCGGCCAATAGCGTACTATGACGTCCAGGAAGACCCCTCGTCCCAGGAGTGTTGGCACGGTGAAACAGAAATACTGCCTGCACAGCTAACACAGCTAAGACGAGCACAGCTTGTCTGAAGAAGCCTCGGACAGAAATACTGCCTGCACAGCTAACACAGCTAAGACGAGCACAGCTTGTCTGAAGAAGCCTCGGACAGAAATACTGCATGCACAGCTAACACAGCTAAGACGAGCACAGCTTGTCTGAAGAAGCCTCGGACAGAGATGCTGCTCGCACAGCTAACACAGCTAAGACGAGCACAGCTTGTCTGAAGAAACCCCGGACAGAAATGCTGCTGGCACAGCTAACACAGCTAAGACGAGCACAGCTTGTCTGAAGAAGCCTCGGACAGAAATGCTGCTGGCACAGCTAACACAGCTAAGACGAGCACAGCTTGTCTGAAGAAACCTCGGACAGAGATGCTGCTGGCACAGCTAACACAGCTAAGACGAGCACAGCTTGTCTGAAGAAGCCTTGGACAGAAATGCTGCTCGCACAGCTAGCACAGCTTGTCTGAAGAAGTCCCGGACAGAAATGCTGCTGGCACAGCTGACAAGCCGACAGCTACCCGGCAGAGCACGGTACAGTTAACATGCACGCTGCCCAGGTGTCCACGTTTTTACAAAGTGAACAGTAGTTTCTCCTTGTAAACGCTGTGGACCATGCACGAATCGCTACAACATGTGGACGACTTAAGACGTGCAGATTTTAAGCGAATATCAGGCCAAAATAGTTCAAGGTGCTCGTTTCCTCCGCTGTCTGGGAACAGATCGGTGGATGAGCCCGCTGTAATGATGAGCCCGCTGTAATGATGAGCCCGCTGTAATGATGAGCCCGCTTTAATGATGAGCCCGCTGTAATGATGAGCCCGCTGTAATGATGAGCCCGCTGTAATGATGAGCCCGCTGTAATGATGAGCCCGCTGTAATGATGAGCCCGCTGTAATGATGAGCCCGCTGTAATGATGAGCCCGCTGTAATGATGAGCCCGCTGTAATGATGAGCCCGCTGCGTGAACACTCCCGCCGTCGCATCACTCTTGCAAAGACATTCAACGAGTGTTGCATGACATCGATTCACTCGTGGACACATAGCGTGAATTGCAGCTCCGTAACACGGGTGGTAAGGGTTTCCATTCTAAACGGAGGACTCATACGAATCGATTCGGCAGAACTTAGCTACCAAGCCCCGCTCGTACGATGACGTAATACCAGCCAGCGTAACGCCGGTCCTGTGTCAGGTCTGTGTGACCAGCTAACGTCACACCGATCTTGTATCAGGCCTGTTTGACCAGCTGATGTAACACCGTTTATGTGTCAGGTCTGTGTGACCAGCTAACGTAACGCCGGTCCTGTGTCAGGTCTGTGTGACCAGCTGATTTAACGCCGGTCCTGTGTCAGGTCTGACGTAACGACGGTCCTGTGTCAGGTCTGTGTGACCAGCTGACGTAACGACGGTCCTGTGTCAGGTCTGTGTGACCAGCTGACATAACGCTGGTCCTGTGTCAGGTCTGTGTGACCAGCTGACATAACGCCGGTCCTGTGTCAGGTCTGTGTGACCAACTTATGTAATACTGAACATACATGTGTTTCCATAGAATCGTGTGCACTTCCTATTTCTCAGCTGAGAACTGCGTCTTCTAAACGCATGTTCATTCTGACCATCGGTTGCGAGCAATTGTTATGGTGCATCGGCAATAACCAAGGACGGGTCTAGCAAACTTCGCGCCTGTTGTGTGTGTGGAGCTGGTGATACGGCGCTGTCAAAGTGGCAAAATCGCTTGGAGAACTAAACATCATCATCGCATGTCCAAACCCAAACAGCCACCTAGTGAACATGCCTGCCATGCATGATTATGTGATGCTTTCCAGCTTTTCCAATCTTGCTGAGAGTCTTCAACTTAACTTGCCTCTTCAGACAGTTTTCGGCATCGGCTCCTGCCATTAAAAGGCGTGTTTGTGGGATACAGTGGCAGCGTGCAAGTGGACCTCACTTCAGAACTTGTCCTCATGGATTGCGTGCATTCTTTTCGAGGAAAAATATGCTACGTTTTCCTCATGGCAAGTAGGGCTGTACCAGTCATCCCCTTTCTTAAGTAACTGCGTTCCTCCCTTACTCCTCCCCCTTAAAGGGGGGAGGTCGATGCGACTCCCGAAGGCTTTCTGAGGACAGCTCTCCGGTAGATCGCGTAATCGCACCCGAATGTTGAGTAGCTTTTGCGGTGTTCATTGCGGGTGTCGTGTTTTGTTTTGTTTGTGTTTATGTTTTCCACTAAGATCCATTTATTTCACTTTGGGACAGGAGCTTAACTTCTGAGAAAAAACTTTAACCCCGCATCGACCCCCCTCCCCCCTTGATCGCCTGATCAGTCTGCGTTATGAAAATGGCGAATCAGGGCGAGGATTGAGAGTCTGCTACAAACCGGGCCACCAGGTGTCGGACCACTAGGTCACCAGGTCACCATGACCCTTTTGCATGCCTACAAGTATTTTCGAGAAGCGCTCAGGCTACAAGCGAGACGGCTCGTCAAACGAGTCCGATTTTAAGACGGAAAATATTCGACTCCAGCGTCCCCGCTGTCATGCGCGACAGCGCCATGGAGTTTTAATAGGCAAACAACGCAAATTTTAGATGCTATATTGTTTAAACCGCATGGTGTTTGCTTGCACCGGTCGCTTACACGCCATTTCCTTCCACATCTTATTAATCCTCGTTCTGATTCGCCATTTTTCATAACGCGGACCGATAGGGGGAGGGAGTTTTGATGCGACCCCCTTGCTGTTTCCAAAGTAAGAAAGATCAATAGCAACGGAGAACATCAGTACATTGGTCTCAACTAGACCTAGCGAATGGTAATGAGTTTTATGCTGGCAGGTTGATGAATTAGGCCACTATGCCAGGTCCAGGGCCAAATTAGGCCACTATGCCAGGTCCAGGGCCAAATTAGGCCACTATGCCAGGTCCGGGGCCAAATTAGGCCACTATGCCAGGTCCAGGGCCAAATTAGGCCACTATGCCAGGTCCGGGGCCAAATTAGGCCACTATGCCAGGTCCGGGGCCAAATTATCCCGAAAATCGAACCTTTTCAGCTTAACATGCTGCTTTTTACGAGACAGTGCCCTGCAGGGACACTCAACCTAAGCAGACGCATTTATTGTACAATTCGAAGCACAATGTTGTCAAGGTTGATTTGTTTTCTCTACCTATTTATTATATACGGCTCCGTTAATGTAACACTGTCGGCCTGCCGCGCGTTCCGCGACGTCGTCGCCTGCCGCCACCC